GAACAATTGGTGGCACCATCTTCTTCAATGATACACGTCTACATTTCTCGACACGCTTCCTGACCATCCTAGTCCAGACTAACAGGCCTGTCTACACGGGAGACCAAGTGGGTGAGTTACGACAGGAATAAGTGAAGTAGGAGAAAGTGTTTAGTGTTGTAAATTTATTGTATTTCCACTCAAGATCCTTTGATAATGATGTAATGTTTTTTTTTTTTTTTTTTTTTTTTTTTTTTTTTTTTTTTTTTTTCAGTGCGCTTCAGAATCATCTTGCTGAATACGGAACTCAAGCCCTATGATGATCCCGTGGATGTTTATATTCTGGTAAGTTATTTTGTAACATTGTTTCATTTTTGCATTCTTACTTATTCCCGTTTTTATGTAAGTCAAAATTCAAAACTAGTTTGTCATTTATTTTTATCTTTCCTGTAATATTCCTAATTACCAGCAGATAGCTTTACATTTGAACCGTTTACTGTTCAACTCTTGATTCATATTCCAATTGTAATTACATTAATTTTCTATATGAATATACAGTATAGAATTAATATTATAACTTAAATTTTATTTTATTGGTTTATTTATATATGTATTTATTTATTTTAGTTTGTTATTGTTTTTTAGAATGAACATTTCCAGTAAACCTTTAGTTATGAGCATTTCCTATGGCCATTTCTATCTTTAAATGAAACTACAAATCTAATTGCTTATTTATTCAAATGTGCTTTTTTGGAACCAAGAATATGACAAATATTTAAATTCACTTCCTATTTTATTTTATATTTTGAATTATGAATACAGTTCTAATAACTGTCTCAACTGGTGACTCCATGTACCCATAGGACCCAGACAACTACGTGATGCGTCGCTGGCCTTCCAGACCAACCAATGTAGGTGTCGTGTCCATGGAGTTCACTCTGCCATTCCTTCCCAAAGTGGGCTATTGGGGCATCAAAGTGCTTGTTAATGGGCAGGAGGAAATCAAGAGGATTAAAGTTGAGAAGTGGTATACACCACGCTTTGAAGTGAGTAATTTTTTATCCACTGTTCCATGTTTTTTTATTATTATTATTATTATTATTATTATTATTATTATTATTATTATTATTATTATTATTATTATTATTATTATTTTGTTGTTGTTGTTGTTGCTATTGTTAGCATGTCTGTACATTTGCAAATACTGTTTTTAGATATATTTATAGCACAGCTAACCCTTCTCACTATTAACTCTTCTTGTATCTCTTCCACAGGTAAAGATCTTCATGCCAAAGTATTTCTTAGACACAGATGAAGCCATTGAAGGTGTTTTAGGTGGTGAGTTTGGCAATGACAAGGGAGCTTATGGAAATGCAACACTCAAGCTGTTTGTGAAGAATAAGATAAATCCTAATTGGACTTACGTCACAGAGCAGATTTTTGAGCCAGTAAGTCCTTGCTTTCTATTTTTCCCCTCTTCCTCTCTTTCTCTTTTATTTAAGAATGTTTTGAATTCAGTGGATTAAGATTTTTTTTTTTTTTTTTTTTTTTTTTTTTTTTTTTTTTTTTTTTTTTTTTTCAAAAAGTAAAAATAGATAATCTTGAATTGCTTCTTGTCTAGATACATGGAAGACTTCTCAGCCACAAAAATTATGATAATTGTTTTACTTTGCAATATCTGAGAGGTCAAGTTGATTTACATGACTCATACTTATTTCAGATACAGAGACTCAAATCTTATTACAGTCAACTAGTCATGTAATGGTCTAGAGATTTTAACATATGTCAAATAGACAAACCCTGGATCACATTCTGTTAATTCTGTGTCGTTACAGTTGCCCCTATAACACAATTGTCTCCACAGTTCGAGGGTGAGATGGACTTCAGCTTCCCAATGGAAGACCTCTCTAAGCGCATTTCTAACCTGGATGGTTCCGAAATCCGACTGGAGGCAGAGATACAGGAGACCTTCATGATGCTCAATGAAACAGGATTCTCCATGGCTAAGATTATCAATTCCTCGGTCAATTGCCGTTTTCTAGGCTCTCCACCCTATGTCTTCAAGCCAGGAATGCCATTCGAAGCAACAGTAAGTTGCAGATAGGAAGGGTTGGCTTTTAATTAGGAAGCCGTTGATTATTGTTTGTCTTGTTCATGCATGTGGGAATGTTTCATCTAGGCTTAAGATAGTTGGAAAAGTTTCCCCTCTGATACTTGTCTCATTTCTTCTTTTCCTCTGTTCTTTGTTGTCATCTGCCTTTTTATATTCTCTTGTTGCCCCATTTTATATGCTCTTCCTTTCTTCCTCATACATTTCTTTCATTCCTTTCCTTTTCTTGTTTTTCTTCCTGTTTCATCTTCTTATCCTGCCTCTTCTTTCTCTTCTTATGTAGATAGTCCACTTTATTCTTTGAAGTCTTCCAATATTTTCTAATGATGTTATTTCTGTTTAATTTGCTATTGTCTAAATTAGCATCTGATTATCACTATCAAAGAAGTTTCTTAATGTCAGTATTTTGATGTCATATGCTTCTCCTCTATCAATATGTACTTGTCCCTTTTATGTGTCATTTCTAGAATCTGAGTAATATGATGGTATAGGCTGCAGCTGAAGTATCAATATCTCAGATACCTTATGTTTAACTTTCAGGTTGCAGTGTCGTATCATGACCTTGAGCCCCTTGGAGAGGAAAAACTGCATGGCTCAAAGCTTGTCGTGAAGGCAGAGGCTGTCTTAGAAAGTGGATCTCGTCAAGTAGTATACGATATTGAGGTAAGGGAAGCTTCTTGATTTTTTGTGGTGATGATGATCCGTAGAGTTGGACCAGAAATAAATTTATTTCTTTTGTGTTTGTGTAATAGAAACATGAAAAGAAAGGTGTGAATTTGAAGAGGAATTGTCATACTTCATGTTTGATAGGCATTGCTCTCTTAAGACAGATGTATATCTTGATATCTTGATTAAGAATATCTCATTACATTTTATTTTGAAATGGAATAATGTATACCTCTTTAGGGATGGCCCCTTTACATACCTCTTTGCAATGTCTTTCTTAGCATTTCAAGGGTTCAGATACAAAGGATTGAGTATCCTGTAGCAAAAGAAATACATTTATGTATTGACTGTTAAACTTTTTTTTTTATTTCAGGTCAGTCATTCATTTATTTAGTTACTAATTTTTCTTCCATTTCACCATTTTCCTCTTTTCCTTTTCCTTATCACCTACTTTTAGTAAACCACGCATCTTATTCCTTCCTAGATCCCCCAAGTTAACTCTGAGGATGAGGAGCGCGAGTTTCTAGACCAGTCATGGAAGTACAACCGTAAGGCCCAGGACTACCAGGCTGAGGGCTACAAGCTTGATGACTACGACTATAACTTTAACTTTGATTATGAAACTGGTAGTCGCTACCTTACCGAGAATGAGCTGGTGCAGAAGAAGATGGAGATGTTTGTCAGAAATCAGAAGTTTCAGGCAAGTCATCTTGGTCCATTTGTTTGTTTTATTGGTTTTATGTATTTTTTTTTCACTGTTGGCTTATCATTCATTGTTGTTTTTTCTGTATTCTGTTTTTGTGTTGTCAATTTATTTTTTTATTTTATTTTTTTTTTTGGTGTTGAAGGATCTAAAAAATGCCCTTCTCTAGATGGTGTTTTGTTAATTTTGACAAAGATAATAACATAATTGGATATAATATCCATAATGAAATGATGTAATGGAATAATAGTATTAATTACAGTTACAGTGATAACTAGATAAAAATATTCAAGAATATATGTAGATCCAAGCTTTAAAGAAATGTAATTTAGAATACAAATTATTCACCTCTAAATAGCTCAATACAGAATACATACCCAACAGCTTTTGAACATTCTTCCATCCTGTGTCCTTGCAGAAATACCGCGAAAAGGGAGTGTACCATTTTGTAGTAGATGTGCCGGAGAAGACAGCTGCCCTCAGTCTCACAGCCTCGTACCAGGATGACACTGGCAGCATTGCAGCAGCAAATGCTAAGGCTATCGCATACTATTCACCCAGGGTGAGTGATGGATTGTAGGGTGTTTGCATGTGTTGGTTGAGCTTCTTCCTTTTTTGTCTTCTTTCTCCATCTCTTTTTTCTTCATTATTTTCTTCTTCATCCTGTCTAACATTTTCCTCCTTTTTTTTTTTTTCAATATATTACTTTTTTTCTCTTGTTTTTCTTCTTTTTCTTTTTGTTTCCTTGTCTTTTAATCCTTTTTGTTTCCCTTATTTCTCTTATACATTTTATTTTTCTTCTTTTCTTCTTTATTAGTATTTGTTTTTCTCTCTTTGAAGTCTTCTGATTAACATCATAACTCGACTGCCCATATTTCCCTCCCATATGTCTTGAAATGATGTTTGGCAACTCACTACACCATCATGCCTGCATTAAGTAAATAATGAAATAAAGCTTGCTTTTCCTATACTCTCCATGCAACCTTTCATTTTATGATAGTAAAATTTATATCAGACATTTTTCTTCTTTCTTTTTTCTTTTTTGATAGTAATTGTGCACCACAGGAATGACTGCCGAAATCCTATTGCACAGTTTAAAGTTTAAAATCTTTCTGGGTATAATGACAGTAATACGAGTTATCTTTGTGATATCATGGTCACTGGTGCAATCAGGCATTTATTGCTAAAATCATCATTATTAGGGTTTTTGCCAGAAGGGTAAAAGAGTATGGTATTTTTACTCTATGGTAAAATTAATGTATACCCAAACTGGAATAAAAGTAACAGTACTTGGTGTGAATTAGCAAGAAATAAGTAAATTAGTAGGCACTGCACATATTTTTGCCTGTGGCTGATCCACTTAGTCCCTCAATATGGGAGGCCTCCAAGATGACGAGCTGATACTACATTCCAACATAAATGTATATGATTTGCCTCAGAAGTGATGGAGAATCATTGTCACAATTCCACACAGTTCAATACATATCCTTTATTTATTTATTCATTCCCCCCTACCTTTTTTTCTCTCTCTCTCTCTCTTTC